TTATCCTACAAAAGGTTCTATCAAAACTCTAGATAACAAATTAGCTATTCATAATAGTATGTAAAACTACAATACTAAAAGTCATAACCAACAATGAAAAATAGGAAGAGGAAAGAAAAAACTTGTAGAAGAATTCTCAAGCCTTGCTCCTATTGTGTCTCTGCCTCCTTAGGTCAAATCTATGTCAAAAATATGTCTCTTTCAATTATTGGCCGGCTTCCTTGGTTTAATATAGGGTTTAGGGCTTAAAATCCCGTATTTTGCACTTTAGTCCCTGAAATTTACGCATCCTGCCGCGGTTTCACCGCGGTCGCGCCGGAACCGCGGCCAAACACCCTCTCAGATTCTTCAGTTGTCCGCGACTGCCCTCTGCCGCGGTTCTGNCCGCGGTCGCGGTTTTTGACCCTGTTACGTTTGGAATTTGGAAAAACGTAAAACATGAAAGTTGTAGCCTTTTGAGTTAGCTTTCCAACCATATTTTCTGGAGGGAAAATAGAGTTCTTAGTAAAACGTTATGTCTATTTTACTATACAGTGCGCAATATGCTTCTTCGAGTTTTCTTTTTGTTGTTTTATCATCCATTGATCCCCGAACGCGATCCCGGCTTAATTCCTTGAGCTATTACTCAGACTTCAAAGCTCCAAACCACTTAAATTCATTATATAACATCTATATAGCTCGAAATCATACCTACAAAGCATAAAACACACAATTAGTGCAAAACACTAGCGATTAAAGCGCAAACTCAACTAAAGTGCAGTAAATTAGAGTGTAATAATCGACTAAAATACGTAATTATAGCCTATCATCAACACCCCACACTTAAACCATTGCTAGTGGAATGTACTAGTTGTGTCCGAAACAGTGTTGATAAGGTATCAAGAGGTATTTCCATCCTCGAGCAATCAAACTACACTTTTTTTTATAGACACGACCTTTTTAAACAATTCTCCTAACTCATCACACCAAGAGTATTTAAAATAGACTAAGCACAAAAGCGTAACATCTTCACCTCAAGATTTGACTCATAAGTACCACGAATTATTCACAATTCACCTACTTACTCTAACATAGAGTCACTGACATTACCTTTCCTTCATGAATCAAGTGCCCTCACACAACAAAAGAGAGTAGTTCCNCAACATAATGGCTCCTACTCCAAAAAAAAAACTAACTACACCCGGTTCAAATAAAACCCTTGGAAAAGAACCGTGGTTTAAAGAAAAACCAAGGGGTAATTATTACACTACCTAACAAAAGAAAATCTTTTTGTACTTTTTCTTTAGACTTAAATTCCTCAAGAAAATTGTCTAATAGATCCATCGTCGGGAAAAGTCCAATCTTTTCTTTAAAAAAAAAATTGTTCAATTAAACTAATACAACTAAAATAGCATAGAAAGTCACCCAGACAATCTTCTCACCCCACACTTAAAATTGTGCGTTGTCCTCAATGCACACCATAACTAATAAAAAGGGTAAAAGAGACTCCCTGGTAGGCCAAAGGCCGAAACATTAACAGCTCATGGGGTACTCAGACTTCTCCCAAGCTTGGTCCTTTGTGCGGGTACCTCACACTTGTTCCAACCATTTGGTTTGCTGTTGCATCCTTCCAATACCTTTATTTTCCATGCTCCTAGAAAATAAAAAATTGACACTACAAAAATAATACAATTAAAAAATAAAAAATAAATAAAAGAAAGCAATAAAGTTAGGTTGCCTCCCAACAAGCGCTTGATTTAACATCGCGGCACGACGCGGATCACTTTTTGCCTCCACCTCGAGTTTATGAATTGAACCCCAAGTTTTGATTCAAGCTTATGATTATGGTCATGGGGCGGTGGAACGAATCTGACTGGCCCAATAAAATAATGTAGTATTCNCCGTGTTTTGCACTTTGGTCCCTGAAATTTACGCATCCTGCCGCGGTTCCACCGCGGTCGCGCCGGAACCGCGGCCAAACACCCTCTCAGATTCTTCAGTTGTCCGCGACTGCCTTCTGTCGCGGTTCTGCCGTGGTCGCGGTTTTTGACCCTGTTACGTTTAGAATTTGGAAAAACGTAAAACATGAAAGTTGTAGCCCTTTGAGTTAGCTTTCCAACCATATATTGTAAAGCTCAAATGGAGTTCTGAGTAAAAAGTTATGTCTATTTTACTAGATAGTGCGCAATATGCCTCTTCGAGTTTTCGTTTTGTTGTTTTATCATCCGTTGATCCCCGAACGCGATCCCGGCTTAATTCCTTGAGCTATTACTCAGACTTCAAAGCTCCAAACCACTTAAATTCATTACATAACATCTATATAGCTCGAAATCACACCTACAAGGCATAAAACACACAATTAGTGCAAAACACTAGCGATTAAAGCGCAAACTCAACTAAAGTGCAGTAAATTAGAGTGTAATAATCGACTAAAATACGTAATTATAGCCTATCATCAAATGCCATATATTTTTTTTATATCAAATAACGTTCACAAAAATATATTCAAATCATCAAATATGAGATTGGATTTAGGGAATATCCACTATATCCCTAACAGGAAGTTGCACGTGGTGGCGACTGATAAAAAGGTAAAAAGATACAAAAAAAAATTATAAATAATAAATTAAGTCTTTTCACTCTCTCAATAAGAGGTGATACACTCTCTATCTCTATGCCATGTCAGCATCATGTGTTCAATAGGCACAACTATGAACAGGGTTTAGGTGTTCAATTGGATCAAGGCTTAATACAGTTATTTAAAACAAAAAACTGGGGCAAGTTTAAGGGGTAGCGTATGTATTTAGCCCCGGGTAAAGCGTTTCGACGCTCAAGAATCCCTTGAATATGGTCATATAGACTGTATTATGTTCCACATAGAATCTTGGTTAGCTACATGTATTGCACAGCCAAAATAGCCGATCGCTGTTTCATGGCTTACCTTGTTATTAAGGTTGCTTGTTTACCAGTATAACGAATCTTTTGCTACTTTACCCCAAAAAGAACTTGTTATACTACAAAAGAAAAGTTAAAATATGACCATAATTGAAGATAGTTGATGCGAGGTGTAAAATTCTTGAGAGTAAATGCCCCATAGGAAACAACAGCTAACAAAAAAGAAGGTGAAATCTAGTGACGTGAAAAAGCAAAGAGCAAACACCCAAAGGACATGTTACAATACAAAATTAAAACTGCTAGACTTGCCATGAAAGAAGACATAAAGTTCATAAAAGCCAACAGCCAAATAGCAAAGAGGCCCTACACCTGCTAAACACTAGAAAGAAAACCTCATCTATGCTGAAATTATTTTTGTTGGGACCATTATACATCTACCATTCTACAATGAGATACCAGATGGGAAGGGGAAAAACAAACTTTCTAGAAAACTAGTTAAAGAAAAAAAACAAATAGCTAGGAGTGAGGTGGATCAATGGGAAGTGAAAGAAATGCAGCTATCGTAGTTATTATGCAGGTTGAGAAACATTGATGTCAGCAGGCTGATTCCTCGAGTCAGGGGCCAATGATGGCCAGTTATCTTCATGGAAGGAAGAATTCGATACTACAGTTGGTTTTGCTGATGATGAGTGATAGGCCTTTTCCATATCTGTACTAGATAGAGGAACAGCTGCAGTTATGGGCTCGGACTTGTTCTTCTTGGTCGTCGGCTCATGCTGAATTCCAGCAAGGAAGCTGCCCACAACAATCTGATTCATACCAAAAAAAAAAAAAAAGAGAAATATGCCAGCTGTCATAACTGATAAACCACTCTGTATTGGAAGTACTTGCTAATTTATTCATGAGAATAAATACATCTATTTGTCGTATAAGCACAACGTCATTCCTACGCATAAATAGCACACTGAATAAGGGAAAATCAATACCTGCACAGGACTGGCAGCTACCAATAGACCGGCAACTCCGCCACCAATAACACGTCCATCAGGGCTTGCTAGAGACACACTCATCCCTCCAGATCTGTTTCTCATTCCTCCGGTCTCGGATTGGATAAATGATCCCGTCAAAGACAGTATCTCAAACCGGCCCTATAGGAAGAACGGTAGAGGGAGTTTATACATAAATGTCAACCCTAGACAATAAACAGACTGAGAAATGACGTTTCATCTATAATGCCAATCATAAACTGATTTCAGGGACTTGGATGATACCATAGTCTACATGTACAATACAAGGCACATAGTCCATACTAGACACTGAAGAACGAAGGCACAAGTTTTAAGATAACAAAAGCATTGTGCCTTAAAAGATTGCACCAATAAGATCAATTTCCTAAATGTGATTGTTCTAACAAATAATATCCCTGCCCTCAAAGTGATCATTCTTTCACAAATAGGATCAATGCCCTCAATCTACATTAGCTTTACGCCAGTCCTCTTCAACCAATACAAGCCAGTCGTTCCAAGTCAAATACAGAGCAGGCTATGCATAGCCATTCTCAACAAATTTGTGCTCCCCCTCAACAATAACAATTTTTTTTAAGAAAACAGATTACAGCTGATGGAAGTATGCTCATAAATATGACATGAAGCCACGGGATTTTAGTTACACCTTCTATTTTTGAATGGTACGGGCTTTTAATTACACCTTCTCTTTTTGGTACGGCCTTTTAATTACACTCACCAAGCACAGCTTAATCTAATCCCAGAACTTGTTATTTTCCTTTATTTTTTAGATACGTGATTTTTAATGAGTTATATTGAGCTATCAGGGTTTAGTTCAACAACTTTATTCATTAATTAAGGGATAAAAACTCCCGTAAGCAAGAGGTAAGCATTAAAGAAAAGAGAACCTACAAAAATAAATGCTTCTCTACAACAGACACTCGAAGAGAGAAAGACACCTAGATGCAATGCTAAAATGTCTATGGCTTTTCATTTGATTGATTACTAAAAGTGAAGAGTACTACATCATTTGATTGACCAAGAAAAATAACAAAATAATGGAGTATCACGCCTAGAAGCCAAGCTCAAATGTCTATGGCTCTTCAACAATGATACGGAACAAAAAATGAGAAGATTAACCATAGCAAGAGCAAAGTAACTAGTTGCAACACCTCATATGTTAATGTACCACCAGATGAGTCCGGTTGGCGAAGTGTGACACTGGAAATTACACCATTTGCTGAGAGAATGCATATTGCTCGAGGCCCTTGTTGGGAGAATGATATAACCTTCATGCTGACATCCTAAAGAATTTATCATAATACGAAACATAAGCAATTTGTTATTGATATGAATTGACAAATAGCAAAGTCGCTTCTTTCTTCAGTTACAGATGGGGTTTTGTTGGGTTTGNAACTTTTTCTGAATCAATCATCAAGTTTGTTTCTTACTGAATGAAATCATTAGATGCAACAATTTCGAAAAACAAAGAAATCTAGTGTAACCAACAATGTAAAATGGATTGGGAAAGAGATGCATCATATCTGAACTGAAAGAAAGATCAAAAGGAGATTGTACATGGAACTCATTATCATACAGACTTTAGTCATGCCATAAGGAGAACTTCCATAGGTACTAGTTATGGCTAAATTTTACCTCTCCAGTGTTAACAGTGATAATATGGGGCGTGAAACTAGCACCGACCGAGCATGAAACCCATTCACCTACAGAAAAGACTTAGCATTAGTAATGTGACATGAACCTTCAGATACCAACATTCAACTACAGAACCATAATTTCATGTTTGGATGGGGAAAAGAAAATCGAATTCACATCTCTTTTCTGTAAAATAAGAAACTTCTCGTTTATGACCTGAATATTATTACATGATGCAATCATGAATTACCTAGAGGGAATGGTGCCTGAACAAAACACAGCCACACCAACCAATCAAAAAGAGAAAAAGAAAAAGAAAAAGACAGAAATCATTCAAGTAATTTCAACTACTTGCAAATATTTTTGAACATACAACTTATGCTTATAATAGAAGTTTAGAACATTATCTGCAACCTCTGCCAAAGAGAAAAAGGGAATAGGAAACAAAGAAGTCTTAGTTTGTTACAAAATTCACAAAGAGACACATTTCAATCATAATGTTTTATAGATATAAATATTTGAAAAAATTGTATTCAAAGAAAAAAAATGTTTTGGCTCTCTAAACAGAAATTGTCATTATTCTTGTGATGGACAAAGCGCGACAGAGGAGTATGAAATAAGAAAAAGTAATCCAAATGTACAAATTCTTAATTTTACACAACTAGTAAGAATATGTTGTAAAAATAAACCTACACTTATATAACAAAGCAGATGCATTCTCACCCTTAATGGTGGAGAAAGTAAAAAAAAAAATCTACAGACAGACTTCCAAAGATAATAAAGTAGAGGATAAATGGCAGCAAGGTAAAGCAAATAAGGCACCTTTTGCTTAAGTAACTGAAAAAGGCATGGAGAAACACAAGAAAATAACTTGAGTTAATTTCCAAGAACATATGAACATGCTAGTATAAAATGAAAATCTGTTTATTCACAAAAAATTATTAGAAGTATCTGTATCACATGAAGCTCAAGTAAGGAACTTCTGGAAACTTTAGTTACTTAAAAGTCACAGCAGGAAGTAAAAGTAGCTGAAATATCAGGTATGTATGTTTAAGCAGTAGATCAGTGAGTGTACTTGTTTAGTCTTATTCTATTACTAGCAGCAACTCTATACCAAATCTAGAAAAATCAACTTCCACATTTAACACTCATGTCCAAAATGACACCTATAGTTTAAGATTCCCTACTTCTCAGACCAGCACAAATATCTCACAGGTCCCACGTCTACACACACACACACACACTCTCTCTCTCTCTTAAATCCAAACACCAAACACTAATTCCACTAATAAAAACAGATCAAAACATATACTCCTACTACAAAACTTAGAACATCTCAATATAACTAAACAAAAAAAAGATCATTAATCTAACAGACTTTTTTTTACCTGAATTCTGAACATCAGCTTTAGGTTGATAGACCTTAAGAGCTGACCCAACAGGCCGGATTTTCGCCCGTTTCTCCGACGAAAAATCAATGACCGGAGATGGTGCAGCGGATGAAATAGGCTTAGGAGAAATAACAGACGCGGGTAATGACCCATCTGGCCCATATTTTCTGGGTCTACCTCGCTTTTTCTTCACTGTGGTCATTGCTAAAGCAGCAGAATCTGTGGTCACTGCTGGTGTTGGAGAAACTGATACACTCACCTGCGCCTGGGCTGCTACTGCTACTGCTTGAGCTGCTGATCCAGTCATCACCGGGGCAGAAGGATTCTCAGTGGTGGTCCTAGGTGCCATATGGTAGTCTGACGGAACATCTGATCCCACCACTCTTACTCCACTACTGCTACTCATATTTTCCCTTCCTTCCATACTTCACCAAAATTAACCACCCCCCCCCCCCCAAAAAAAAAAAAGAATCTCCTTTCTACTTCTTGTATTCAAAAATCCATAATTTTTCCTGTATTTTAAACACCAAAAAAAGAACTCTCATTAGAAAAAAAAATCCAAATAAATGAAGCTTAAATTTTGCTGACTCCAGGTTCAACAGTAATACTGTTCCTTTTTTTTTTTCTCTTTCAAAAACTTGAGATAAAAACACCAAAGCAACTGATGGCTACGATCAGAAAATTTTACAAAATTTTGCAGCTATTTTTCTGAAATGAAGAATGAAATTAAAGGGAAAAGATTGAATTTTTAAGTGATGAGAAAATGTGAAATTTTGGAGTTTTGAGGAGTTAAAAAAGCTAATTTAGGTTCCTAACTTTCCTCAGATTGTCCGAGTAAGTATTTAACGAAATATAATAAAGATGGAAAAAGAAATGATTGAATATTAGGTTATTGTAATAATTAATTATAATAGGGGGAGATTATGTATTTTGTTTAAGAAAATGGTTGGAGTCCGGTAGAAAATAAAATTCTGAAAATGAGTAATTGTAGTTGGGAAAGGTGAAATTAGGTTGCCAATGCATAAAGACAACCATCATTTTTTTCTTCTTTTTCTTTTTAAAGAAAGTAAAAAAGGTAAGGAAAGAGAAATAAATTAATAAAGTAAACAATAGGCATGTAGTTTTATGACTATGTCGTCTATATCATTAATTACAATTAATAAACCTTTTATTACGCAAATACAGACAAAAAGGTACGAACATGAATCTGAAAACTATGAAAATTTTGTAATAAGAGAAAATTTTAATTCGACTTTTCTTTTTCTTTTCTAAATATTTTCTGCTTTTTCTTTTCTACGTTTTTTTCTGCAAATCTTTTTTTTTCTGGTTTAAAAGATAAACATAGATTAGATTAAAGATTGCGTATAGAGACCGGATGCCCGTAGTGCATCCTCATACATACCGATGCACCAGCAGTGGGTGCTAAAGCATTATACCTAACTATATTACTACCACAACTATGATTGTCACTATTACCATACGTATGTACAATATCATAATTATTAGAGTGAGGCCTATTGTCATTCAAAACAATTTCCTGCACTGCACTCTTCTCTTGCTCAAAAACTGCATATGCAAAATCTGGGTTGCCCTAAAAAATATGCACCATCGGTTGAATGCCAAAATTGCAGCTTTCCTTCGCTAGTTTATCTGTAACTATATTCTGTTTTCTGTACGCATGTAACACTGTAGGTTTACCCAACCTGTCCAGGAGGTACCTACAGTCAGAAATTAAGTTATTAGGTGCCACCTTATTAGAGTTGAGGAGCGTTATGATATCCTTTGAGTCCACTTCAACTTCCAGTGGTAAAAGATTATGCTCGAGAGCTAATTGGAGACCCTGTATCAAAGCACGTAGTTCTGCAGAAGAAGGCAAATCAGTTGTTCAGTTGTTATTGCTGCTGCGAATCCTAAAATCCATTCATTAATCAACTTGTAACCTAACAAATAAAGCTTAGATCAAACAAAATATCTTTTCTCTGTATCAAGCATAACCTTAACTTCAACAAAAAATAAAAGAAAAAGATACATTACCTTAACACAAGTGAACAAGTTCGTTAAAGGGGTTCGAACGACAATGTGATCAAGTTCAACCCAGAAAATGTGAAAACTCTCCCTATCAACGATCTACTTCAGAAAAGAACTCCATACACCTTACCTTTCTTAGCAAACACCATGGATGAATTTCAACAACAACTTCAACAGACTACTACGCCTACAGAACCACCTGATATTGGATTTATGCAAATTGATAATACAAATATGCTTACACAGCCTCCAACCTTCTTACAAACTCTACTAACTGATAAATATCTTATGTCAGCCCCAACCACGCCAATACTCTCCTCAACCACAATAGATCTAACAGATGAAATTGCTCACAATCCTACGGACGATGATACTTTTATACCGATTACTTCGACTGATAAAACATGATTATACGAACCGTGGAAATACTCTGTCATTGTAAAGTTCTTTGGCAAAAGGATTACGCATCAAATCATGCATGATAAGCTGATGTCCTTATGGAAACCAACAGAGGCTCTCCCCATAATTGATTTGGGTTCTGATTTCTTTCTCATTAAATTCCAAAGAGAAGAAAATATGCATAAAGCTTTGCACGGAGGACCATGGTTTATTCTAAGTCACTTCCTAACTGTCAGAGGATGGGAACCTAAGTTCAAAGCTTCCTCTACGCAGCTTACATATTCAGCCCTATGGGTCAGGTTGCCTGAATTGCCTACAGAGTTTTATGACTTGGAAATACTCAGAAGGATTGGTTCTAAACTAGGGCGACTGCTAAAAATAGATACATGTACATCTTCAACTACACGAGGAAGATATGCTCGTATATGTATTGAGGTGCCTTTGGAGAAGCCATTAAAAACACATCTATATATAGGACACCATAGGCAGTCCCTTCTATATGAAGGGTTAAATCTTTTATGCACCAACTATGGAAGATTTGGACACCCTGCCAATAATTGCCCTGAAAGAATAAGGGTCCCAAAAGATCAAATGGAGGAAAACAAACATATAAAATCTACTACTGATACCATACCATTGGAAAACAATGAATGGAAAACAGTAATCTTTCCTAAGAAAAACATCCATCTACCTAAACAACTCCCTCTGCGCAAGGAGCAGGCAGCTACAATGGCGGTTGCACCAGTGACACCGACACCGACACCACCAAGTAAGTTCTCTAACCCTACTCAGGCTGCATTGGGCCAGGTCTCCCCCACTAGGCCTGTTAGGTCACAGGAGCCCACGATAGAATTTAAAAATAAATTTGAGTTGCTCTCTATAATTGGGCACACAGATTCTCAATCTGGGCAACCCTTCCAAAGCCCAATAAATCATAATAATAGTAATAAATTACTACAAGCCCAACACCATGCCAATAAACAATTAGTGGATGCTGATAAACCACCACTCGTAATAACCAATCCTCTGTCATTTAACCCTAAGCCTACATTACCAACAGATCACTCTTTAATCTTAGTTGATTACCACACGTCTCACCAGGATGTTCCGACACACACCTCTATAAGCCAATCAACATTAACCAAGTTAGAAGTACCTTTACAAAATTTGGACACGTTAAATCCACCTCAAACTAAAGGGGTAAAAACATTGCATGCTACAGTAAATACAGTTACTTCTGCTGATAAGTTTCTTCAAAACCCATGCAAACCGTATGATGATCTTTCATGTGAATATCATAATGACAAACCCACTACCTTATCTCCTATACTCACTAATATTTATCCTCCGCCAGTCCAAATACCCACGCCTAGTACAACTATTCCCTCTGAAGCCAAGCAAACAACATACTCTACTCTCAATGCAGAGACCAACATTCATAAGTATGACTCAGAGTCAGTCTCTGAGGGCAAATATACAGACCAACAACCAATTTTTCCATCTTCCCCGTCTCATAATGGTAGGCCCTCAAGTGACTCAGAGTAAGGGATATGCTCTAGTATTTACACTGCAACTAAACAACCAAGAGGTGGTGCTGCTCATACAGAACCCAACACATCTAGCAGAAATAGTTACAGAAGGGATGAGGTTGGGAATGGAAGCCTTCAACCAGAATCAGTGGTACACGACCCAAACCCCTCTTCCAATGGACCACCAGGCTTCCAGCTCCACTCATCAACCTTGGCCATCCTAGTTATCCCAGATGAATCCAACCTGGGATCACACAGTAAGTCTACTACCTTTTTATCCACCCCATCATATGGGTCTGATCTATGCTCCTTGGTTTCAAGCTCTAGACTCCTTCAATCCACTCTCCCCTTATTCAGGCCCACTAAGTCCACTAGAGAGTCTGACACCACCAACCAGTCCAGTGCACTCACCTCCTCTATCTCCACAAGAACTAGATGGAGATACAAGAGAGGAATTGCTATCCATACTTGCGGAGATGAGAGAAACACAAACGGAATTTTGGTGGTTAAAAGAGATCCAGTTTTACAATCTCAAAGAACGATTCGAAAAAAATTCATTCTAAAGTGTCCTCCAGAGCTGAGAACATGCAGCCTCAATTCCGCCAAACCACCAATCCGGAGGTGGGAAAATATTCCATGGTCATCATTCCAACGTTTCTTCAACTTCCACTAAGTCTGGTTTCGATGACACCCTCAGTTGTCAATCCACAGACTCAAGCTCTTACGAACCAACCCAGGAACCCTAATTCTTATATGAATTTCTTAGTTTGGAACTATAGGGGCTCCCATAATCCAGAGTTTAGGAGACACTTTAGGTTTCTATTAGATAACCATAGGCCCACTCTTGCTATCCTACTGGAAACGCACATGCAAGGCCATACACGCTTGCGTGAGGATTTCAATTTTACAAATATGTCTCAAGCTTCTACAAATGGTCTCATGGGTGGTTTGGTGGTGCTTTGGAATGCTGATCTTATTAATGTCACTGAACTGGGAATCTCTGAGTAGGAAATACACTGCCTAGTCCAGGTTAGTCCCACAAAATCCTTTTGGATATTATCTGCTATTTACACTAATCGACACTACCAACTACGTGATGTGCTTTGGAATAGTTTAATAAATTTGAATGTTAACTATAATTTGCCATGGCTAATAGGGGGGATTTTAATGAAATTCTAGAATCTAGGGATAAATTTGGGGGTCTACCCATTAACAATAAGAGGGCTGATAAATTTGCTAACTTTATACACAGTTGCAACCTTTTCGATTTAGGTTTTCAGGGTAGTCGTTTTACTTGGTCTAATAAACAAAGAAATGGCCATACCATACTAGAAAGACTTGATCGGGTTTTGGCTAATTATAATTGGTTAAATTTATTTCCAAACTCTACTGTGACGCATCTCCCTCATACCCACTCTGATCATTGTCCTTTACTAATTAATTTAGAATCGCCTCAACCATTCCACAAAAAGATATTTCGATTTGAGACTATGTGGGCTTCTCATCCTCAATTTCAACAGCTGGTTCATGCAACATGGTCGAATGATTCACCTTTATTACCTACTATTAAAAATTTTAAGAGGGTAGCAACATGTTGGAATTATAATATTTTTGGTAATATTTTTAAACGAAAAAGAAAATTGCTTTCCAGACTAGCAGGCTTACAATCTTCATCCCATTATCCTACAAGTATCTTCTTGCAAAACTTAGAAACTCAACTGACTTTAGAATACAGTGACATTCTTCGTAGAGAAGAGGAATTCTGGCAGTTAAAATCTAGAATAAATTGGTTGAATGAAGGGGATGCAAATACTAGATTTTACCAACTGTCCACTCTTCATAGACGTCGTAGAAATAAAATAACTGCTTTACAAGATAGCGTAGGAAATTGGGTATCTACTTCAACTGAAATTCATGACTTAATCTTAAATTATTATACTGAGCTATTCCATAGTGACCACTTACTCTTAAAGAAAATGAG